CACACTCTCTCACTCTCTCTCATACACACTCTCTCACTCTCTCTCATGCACTCTCCCTCTCTCTCTCTCTCTCTCTCCCCCGCACATGCTCATTATTAACCTGACACATTCATATCCATCCCACACTCAACTCTACACGTGTTTCTCTCAGGCTTTGAGAGAATGTCTTAACACTCCACCTGTAAGTTCTGCATCCTTGCCCTTTTAATGTTTCTCCGAGCTGTTGGAAGCTGTTTAGCTGAGGGTGCCTGAATAGTTGGCTTTGTGTGTTCAGCCAGGCCAGACGAGGGGTCAGTCCCAAAAAGCCCTTTGTGTAACATTATTAAAAGGTAACAATGTGTCTTTGCTGGAAATCTAGCAGCCTAGGGACCTTATGCCGTGTCTCCTAACCTTTTCTGAGTTTCCTTATTTTTAAATGATATTTCCCCTCTTGTTCAATGAATGCTGCAATAGAATTGCACCTACGTCTGCACAAAACACAGACTGAAGATTATAGTGCTGGAGAATCAAGTGTTTTCTATTATAAACTGGTACAACAATTGCTGATGATTTTGAATTTTGACCCCTTGACTGCTGATTTGGCGTCTCTTCATTTTCCCTTTCTTGGTTCTTTACTGTCTAATCCTAATAACTGCGTTGATTCCTTCTCTTTCCCACTTTCACTTCCCTGTACCCCACCCTGCACTCTCTGTAATAGCCTAGGCTTGGTATTAGTTCTGTAGGTTTTCCGTTTATGCACTGAGTGAGAGATTGAATGTCAATTTGTAACTGTGTGTGTGTATGCGGATGCGCAGGTGTACGTGATGTGTGCATGTGAGAGAATAGGGATGTTTCGTGAAAATTTGATAGCGTTGTGTGCATCTATCTGCAGAATCCGGTTTTACTTTTTTTAGAATTTTACTGGGTTGGAAACTGAAAAATAACCAGAGTGCGGAACTGTTTCCCTTTGTCCTTTTAAATCAGTTTTGAAGATTTATCCTTTCCAGCATTATTGTTGCTGCAATTTGTATGATGTCAATAAATGTTGGAATTCTTCAGTTCTCATTGCCCTGATGTTTGCAGTATACTATTGATAATT